AGCGTGGGTCATTATTACCAGATTATTGCGTCGTACTTCTGCCTTGTTTATATTGTACGCAACAGCCGGCTGCGGGGAGAAATTACAACTTGCCTCATCACCGTGAACAAGCGCAAAGGACATAAACTTAATTGTGTGTTTTTACCGCATCAGCAAAAGCCGGTTAACCAGAGAGGAGCCGAGAGAAATGTCATCGGGGGAAAACGACCGGCGCGTCTGTAGTCTGTAGTGCACTTGTGCCTATTGGAAAGTTGCCATTGAATCGTGATGGTGTTGGTTGGACAGAGAAGATGGATGAGTGGAGAATGTTACAGAAAGGTGGTTCACAAGAGCAATTGGTCTTTGTAATCTATGTCTGGCTCACGAAACGGCAGCGCAAGCAAAATACAGCTCTATCGGTGTGTTGTCAGCACTCCCCAAAGCCTCGCTGTGCTCTTGATGTGGCTCCAGACTGTTGGAACAACCCACTGCTGGTGATATGTTCAGTGTGTGAAAGGGAATTGATACTGGTTTTCACATTTGGTTTTAGTCCTTTGTATAATGTGTCATCTTACTGTGAAATTATAGTGTACTTTGGATGTTTTATTTCTCAACATTGACCGTCTTTATACGAGAAACGACTGTACTAATATGTAGGGCTATTTGTCTTTGGTTGCTTAGACAATTAAAACAGTGGACCAAAATATATATTAGACAAATTAATAAAAGACAAAGATATAGAGCAAAATGTTTAAATATTTATTTAATATGTAAATAATATTGCATATTATTTCTGTAATAATATGTAAAGACAGTATTTTGATTTGTGAGGACAAGTTTGCTAAGGCTACATCAGACATAACATGAAACCTGCCTTACTCACAAATAACCGGATTTCCAATTGTCCCAGAAAACATGAAATGATATTGTACTTTCAAGAGCGGTCTTTGGGCTCGGTTCCGTCGGAGCTATCGGCAATCCCCATCTACCGCGCGTGTTATCGGAGCTGTCGAAGCGAGGATTTTTCCTGTCAAACAATACAAGGGCGGCGTGAATGTCGTATAGATGAGACGTGGTTGGAGGGCTGCGATGTTAAAGGCATCAAAACGAGATCAAATCGGGATGACAGCGATCGCCCGGGGAACAGGCGCATGTACAGAGACGGAGGCTGCATGTAAAGTGAGTCCTTCCAGTTACAGTTGAGGACAGGACTATTAACCTGAGTCGACAGAATACAGAAATCTCTTTGTTTTGCTTCGTTTTCGCTTCGTTTTATCGATAAAGCTGGGATATTTTGCTGTAGATGTGGCTTTATTGATCAGCCGGGATTATCTCGTATGACACCTGTTGTTATTGACGGCGGGTAAATGCCATGTCTGAGGCTGAAATGTTGATGAAATCACAAAAGGCAGATAAGCTGGGTGACGGAGCGCGGCTGCGGGAACACATTTAATAGCATACTCTAGAATGGGTGTGGGTGGGACAGTGGGTGAGCAGTTTTCTCTCTTCTCTCAGAAAGATTCACGGATCGATGCTGGGGAAGGGACCTTTCTGAGTCCGGTTTGTGTGTCTGTGTTATAGTCCCCGTCCTCTAACATAGGCCGGTCCCCTCAGAGGTAGAAGGACTAATCTGCATTTGTGAATTAGAATCAGAATCCTTTTATTGCCATGTGAGTTACAAGAAGTCACAAACTAGGAAATTCCTCTGGCTCACGGTGCAAACAAGTGACAGTAGAATGAAAATCAACAAGGCATGCATAAATGAATATCTACATACATTTCTTCAGGGCTTGGAAATAGAAAAAAATTGACTTTTCTAATGTGATGTGATGTTTGGGCCACAATTTAATATTATTGCAATTTCTAACATAATGCGATACAGCAAGTTTTGTGATTCGATTCTGCGATGTATTGTGATTCTTGTCCCTCATTTTATTCAAAAGAATTTCAGAAATTGAGGAAAGTAAGACTCGCGTTTATTATGGTCTGCACATTCACTGAAGTACAAAAACTAAGGAGGGAAGTGCAAAAACTTTCTCCTTGAATTCAGGACACAGGACCTTATTTCAGACCAGACGTCATTAATCTCTGAAGGCGAAGTCTCACATGCTCCCAATACATAACTTAAATCAGTCAAATGCCACAGACTAGAGAAACACAAAGCAGACATCATAGAGTGGCATAAACCTCAGATGTAAATTACCAGAGTAAACTCAAATAACACACATAATAATAATAATAATAATAATAATCTAAGGCAAGGTAATTTTTTATACGCAAGGCAACTCAAAGTTCTGAACAAAACAAGATAAACAGTCACACAAGGCATTACAATCGTAAATAACCACAGTACATTAAAACAGATTTAAAAAACCCTCAGTCGTTTGCACAGCTAAACAGAACTCTTTAACCTGGATTTAAACATTATTGATTTAACTCAATATTGCGATACTGCTCTTTTTTTCCCCTCACCATTGATATTAAAGGAACTATACCCGTTTCTGCAAGGTTTGAATGTTTAGCGCCGCCCCCCAACTCGCTCACAGGCTTCTCATTTCTCCTACGCTCTCATCCCACGGAGCTATCTAGTTTTTTTTGCGATCTATATGCAAACATTAGCATGAGCGCAACTTAAGTTGTACAACAATCACTGATGAAATGGTACAAAAGCAACGCGCTACAAACAAAATATATAACTGAAAGATTACCGCTAGTTCTGCGTCCGAATGTATGTGTTTTTGCTTTAGTTCCCTCTTCTCTTCCTCACTGTTGCGTTGTTTGGGCTGTTTTGCTGTGTCTGCAGTTACAGCAAGAAGAGCTAAAGCCATTCTGCTCTTGTTTACCAGCGCTGTAGAAGCTAGAGGACGCAGCCTGATCGAAACAGCGCTGCTCCTCGTTCTGTGATTGGAGGAGAGCGGGCGTCACGCCAAGTTTCTACTCAGCACTTTTTACGGCCTGAATTCATACACAAGCTGAATCAATTAGCTCAAGTTTTCAATAAAATTACTGATTTTAATACAACTTGTATGTAGTAATACCCCTTTTTTATTAACTCAGAAAATAAATCGGGTATAGCTTCTTTAAGTCCATAATGAACCCTGCACACGTCTGGCCTGAGCTTGCGTAATGCTAGAGTAGCTCACCTCTCTCTCCGTCACAGAGGTTTCCAACAGGTCGGCCACAAGCGCGATGAGGATAAATGAGCTCCCATCAGCCCCTGGGACACTACGCATCTCGCTCTCTATTTTTCTCTCTTTCTATCTCACTGCCTCTTTCTCTCTCTCTCTCTCTCTCTCTCTCTCTCTCTCTCTCTCTCTCTCTCTCTCTCTCTCTCTCTTTCTCTTTCTCTTTCTCTTTCTCTTTCTCTCTTTCTCTCTTCTCTTTCTCTTTCTCTCTCTTTCTCTCTCTTTCTCTCTCTCTCTTTCTCTGCCACCTCTTTCTGAGCCGCTGCTTAAGTCCTCAGAGGGTAAATACCTGGACTGGAGCACATGACTAAATACTTTGAAAGCGTATTTCACAGCCCAGCGCCCGGCCTTGTACACAGCCCAGGAGGGAAGCTGCTGCTGTGCCTGTGGAATCCAACACTATTAACTGGGCCCGTGTCACGGCTGGATTACACAACGGAAAGACGTGTATGATTGAATGTTTCTCGTTCGTCGCTGGTCTTTATCGAACTTGGTAAAATGACATTTGCAAGGTCATTTACAAGGATAGAGGATGATAGATTTGATGATGATCAGTGCGCCAGGCCGGAGCTGGTGCGTGAATTTATGGTTATCACAGTAAGACAATAGATGGATCCATGACCATACATTACATACATTATCAGACAGAGGTTTCAGGTTAACACTAGGACTCCCAGAGCAGTCATTTTCACGGGTGCTATTCAAATCAATGGAACCTTTTCAGTTGTCCGCTAATATTTTTTAACCTTTACTCACTTCACAAGTGCTATAATTGGGGGAATTTAACTGAACAAAGGACAGAGTTTGTTTTAGAACTTCAGAATAACCAAGCTAAAGCAAATTCCTAGATTTCTGTCTTCCTTTTACTTGTTTTGGCAAAATAAGGATTCTGATTCTGACGTTGGAAAAAAGACACTAGATTTACAGCAGGGCCGAATGCCAACACCATTTTTATGTTTGTTTTGTGAATATTTTTACCACTTCTACTTCTTTATGAGAAATAATTAGTGGATATGTGCTGACTGTTTTTGTTTCATGAGGATTGGCTCAGGAGGAAATGGAGAAAGTAGATCTAAACTAAGACCACAATTTTGACTTTTGATACTTACCATAGTTTTCAAGATGTTTCAGCTTTCACACACATTGTGATGATTCTTTATTAAACCAGACTCTTAAATCAAGCTCTTGAAATATTCACTGACTCCTCTGGCCCCTGGAAAAGCCCTGTTCCAGCTTCTTTCCTCTGGCAGACTTCTTTGCTAACTTCTTTCACAATGCTTTGTTCTCAGTTTGGACAAAGCTGATTTGTTATTGAAGCTGATTCCGTTGATTGTTTTCAGTGACAATCATTTCTTGGACTTTTTGGCTCGTTTATTTCATGTACTTGTCCGGTTCTTCCAGATTTACTCCATTGTCGTTTTTTTTGTTGAATCCGAACGCAACCTCTAGAGTTCAGTTGCCGTTGACATCTCCTGATTGACCAAAACCAGCGTCAGACAAACCTTAAGTCTTTCAACAGCACAACAGCAGCAGCTTGTCTAAACATCTCTCCATCTCTTCCTTCCGGAGGTTTTTTGTTTGTTTTGGAGGGTTGCGAGTTAGATTTTGAAACCGGTCTCGGTGTGTCACTCGGGAAAGCGATGTAGCTCCATCATTCTAACGACCATCTTCTCTGACATCTCATGCATCACGCCTCCGCTCTCATTAAATGTACTGTAATCTCCGCTTCACTCACTCCTCAGTCATTTCTGCCCATCTGTCTCCAGACGCACCGCACTCTCCGCTAAAGCACGGTAATTATGTGTCCCCGCTGTGTCCTTTGGCCTTTCTGCACAAATGTGGAGAGGCCTGGGTCACGGGGACGAGAACATGTACCTGGGAACTGCCGAGACTGCTGGGAAAAAGAGTGGTCTTGTGTATAACTTTGGCTTTGAACCATTGGATGTTATGTTTTTTATGTAGATTTCACTCTTGTGGTATTTGGTTTAAAAGACTAGATTACTTTCTCAATCACTTTTTTGTTTAAGTTAACATGAGTAATTTCCAAACTTAATTATTTTTCTTCGTTTTCCCTAGTTTGAGTTTGTAATCAACCCCTGAAAGAAGGGTGCTGCTAATCATTTAGTAAAACACATTCTATAGTTTGAACTAATATATTTATTCATTCGTCAACAACAATCTGAAGGTTTGAAGGCCTGAAAATACACCGTAAGCTGCTATCAATTATTATACTAGCTTGAGTTACTTTTTTCCTATTGAAAATCGAATGCATTTTGAAATATATGACAAAGTATGATATAGTAGATAGTTTGAATAGATGAGCAGCATGTGCGTGAAATAACATTTAAATTATTATTCTAAATTAAAATTTATTTTTATTTTTATTTTTTCAGTTTGTCTCTCTCAGTACAGTCCAGAAACAACACAGAAATGGCTTCATGTGAAACAAGAAGAGTTTTAAGCATTGATAATAATTAATAAATTGTGGACTGAAAATTGTAATCACAGCTTTTTTTAAATCAATTCAATTAGATAAACTCTTAATCATTTTTGCCCTTATACAAGCAGCTTGGACTGTATTTGCTTATAAACAAGGCAATAATTGTGTGGTAAAATAATTTTTTTTTTTTTTTTAATTTAGAGTTTGAAAAATGTCTTGGATCGGAATCTAAACATATATATTCTGAGAACCTCAAAACTTTCTTCCATAAAGGCCTAGATTTTACACTTTTCAACAGTTCAGTATTGATATCTTGGTTTAGTCGGTCACTTTTCTTTTCTGGGGAAAGACGATAGCTTTGGTTCTCACTGGTTCAATACGTTGCGAGTTGGTGGCAAAGCTCCGTCAGTTGTTCTTTGATGCTTTTCCACATTTTTGTTCTCAGTTTGTTCTTTCTTTTCTGTTCAGGACGATGGGGATGTGGAGGACGACATGACCATGAGAGAGGTGAGCGTTTCCACTTCCAACGCAGATATAGAAACACCCACAGACTCTGCTGGGTTTAGAAATCCAATAGAAAAGTACCATTTATTTTAGATGGTGGGGAAATATACAGGAGAGTGGCTACACTCAATACAAGTCTATAACAGGACGTGGAGCACAGAAGCCCACTGCCGAAAGAAAGTCAAAAATATGTTGATGTTTGCTTGAACTAAACATGAATTGGTTTGAATATGATTATTTTCAATTCTGTCTAAAAGCAACATTCCCATCAGAACATGCCGCTGTTTTCTCATTTCAAGCACACTATCTTGGTTTTCTTAATCGAAGCAAGAAATGGCTTAGTCTCAAGAAAAAAAAACACTTATTCAATTGGCAAATCTTGTTTTAACACAAAAGCAATCCCCAAACCAAGATGAAAAACACATTTTACATCATATTTAAAACTTTCAAAGCGCACATGGGTAAAAAGATCAAATGACTATCAAAGTGTGAGTAAACTAAAGTGTCATGACTCATGGGTAAAAAAATTCCAACATGGGAGAGTATGAGGACATTTGTCATCCCGCTCCCTATGTGTGTTTGTTATTGTTGCCTTTCTGTGTTCAAACTGTTTGATTCTCTGATCTGTTGGTAAATCGACAACTCCCAGGCGACTGCTGTTGTGATTTAGGGCTATGCAAAAATAAATGTAATTGAATTTTCATCTTGGAACCCCTGATATCTAGCCTGGCCATCCGTACACTCCGCTCAATTATCATTTCCTGCACGTAGTGTGCTTTATATTTTTCATGTGTTTTAACTGTTGTTTCTCTGACCTGTGTTGGTGATTTCAATGGTTTTGTTAAGTCCTCTGAGATTACTTCTGTTGTGACCTAGGGCTATACAAGAATAAATTGTATTGTATTGTATTGCATGTAACGTCTGGGTCTGGTCCCTGTGTTTGTGATTACAATCGGTTGAATTCCATCCGACCAATCGGCGAGCGCGGGAGGCGGTGATGTCAAGAGTTTGCGCTGAACGGGCAGGTTGTAGTTTGGCAACGGTGAAGAATGCGATAGTAAAGTATCTTGATAGGTCTGGTTCTATCAAGAAATAGAAGCCGGAGCAAGAGGAATGTTTAGCAAATGTAATCGCTGGCAAAGATTGTAGCACTACTCCCCACGGGCTCCGTTAGCGGCAAAGGAGATGGCTAAAGCTAGGCTAAATGCTAACGACTCTCGCCGGCGCATTACATACGTGACGGTAAACTCGGATCCAATGGTTTCAGTCTGCAAAAAGAGTTAACCCCTCCCACCTGTTCACGGAGCTCAATGGAGCACCTCCAGACCTTAGTACGAAATGTAAATTGTACTATGGTGTGGTATGACCAGGGTATATAGTATCCACAATGAGGGATATGTTTCATACACACAGCTGAAACTCTGAAAATAACAGATCTTTCCAAAGTTATTTTTTCATACCGTATCTGTATTTCAACTTGAAATGTGAAACCAACATCTGATATAGACTCTACATACAGAGACGTGTCAAGCATCTGTTTGTTAAAATGTTGATTTTTATTACCTTCAGTCCACTTCCGTCCAAAATATTGTATTTTCCTCTGATGTTTTATTTAGATACAGAATTATCAACATTAAAACAAGTAAAGGCTGGATACATCTCACTTTGCATATTTTCGTGTAATGTGTTGACGAGTGGAAATGAAGAAAAAGGGAACCCAAAATGCAGGGCTGAAAATCAAATGTAATTTCATAAAATCCAAATCCAGAGTGACAAAAAATTCCAGAACTAAAAAAGCAAGACGGAGACAAACCTGGTAGAGACAATGGACGACACCAAGTGGGGAAGAGCACAGGGTCAGCTCTAGATCATTTACGGAATCGGGACAGAAGCGGAAGTAACAATCCTACTTTCAAATTAGTTTTAGACTAATAAGTCCTTAAGTGGTGACTGGTTAAGATGGGTCTGAGTAAGATGGTTAAGGTTAGGGTTAAGGGTGGGTTGGGGTTATTCTTTGGGAATGGCTGGTTAAGTTTAGGCACGGATCTATTAGTTTAGGTAGTTGTTGGTTATATTTACTTCCGCTTCTGTCCCAATTCTGTGTATGATGTAGGGCTGACCAATAGAACAGGGTATAAATACACACAGGAGACACAGGTCAATCACATCAGGATGGGGATAACAATCAACAAGACACATGGGAAGCAAACTCAAAATTACAAGAGAATAAATAAAAAAAGTAAAATAAAACTAGGTAAAAATAATCCAAAAGGCCCACACCATGATGGTCTGTCATATATTAGTTTCCCATTGTAGGTCCACCAGAAATAATGTCTAGTGAGACCATGAGAGAGAAGGATGAACTTGGAGTGGCACTTGTTTATCTTTTGGATCCACTTTCTCCTCGATGACATCACCGGCCTGTGACTGACGGCTCTCAATATTTCCAGTGCGGCAGATCAGCCGACGGTCTCATATTTTTGGATTCCACATCATTCATAATTCATCCATCAACAGCACTTCTCAATTCCGCTCTGCCGTCCCCTCCACCCTCCGTCTCTCGGCCTCACCCCACGAGCTGTTTTCCTCCAAACTTTGTGTCGAGGGGTGATGTCCATTGTTTGCTTCTTATTTCTGTTTTCTTACTTTTCTATATTGTATGTGTTTTTGCTCCTAGATTGCTGAGTGGGAGGAGATGCAGCTTGAGGAGCAGGTCAACTTTAACAACTGCAAGATCGACCCCGCCCCCTTCCAGCTGGTGGAGCGCACGTCTTTGCATAAGGTTTGATTGCTACATTTACTCTTGTCATATATTGTCGTTATCTATGTACAGTCTTTGTCTTGCTTTGTTTTGTATGTTAGTATTTCTCAAACATTGCAATGGATTAACGATATTGGAGATCATATATATATCTACAGCCCGTCTGTCCGTGGGAGCGGATCCTTCTCTCTCAATGTGGGCCTCAACAACATTTATGGACATTGGTTTCTGCCCCTTATGGACCAATGGCTCTGTGTTTTGACGGAGAAATAAAACAGAAAACACATTGGTATTGATGAAGTGTTGATAAATGCCGATAAATATTGTAAAATGTTGATTGTCCTGGATCATCACCACAGTCCTTTTAGTTAGACGCACAAACCCTCCTGCATCTGCAAGGAAAAACTCTAAACCCAGTGGGAAAAGTAAGAAACCTCGTACTTGAACTGACAAATTCAACGGTTTTGTAAAGTCCTCCGGGATAACTACTGATTTGATTTAGGACTGTACAAGAATACATTAAGTTGAATATCAGGTCAATATTATATGTATTTTAAATTTGTTGAAATGTTAAAAATGCTATACCCTATTTTTTGTTTTTTTTAATGAGTTGATAAAAGTGTTTATTACTACATACAAGTTGTATTATTATCCATAATAAAATTGAAAACTTGAGCTCATTGATTCAGCTGTGTATAAATTTAGGCTGTTAAAATTGCTGAGTAGAGACTTAGTGTGACGCTGGCTCTCCTCCAATCACAGAACGAGGCTGCGTCCTCTAGCCTCTACAGCGCTGCTAAACACAGTAGCATGTTAGCATAAGTGGCTATAACTCCTCTGGCTGTAACTGCAGACACAGCAAAACAGCCCAAATGTCTTTAGAAGAGACCTGCGGGACCGCCTCGGACTATCTACGCTCGGACTATCTACGCTCGGACTATCTATGCTCGGACTACATTCGGACGCGGAACTAGCGGTAATCTTTCAGTTATATATTTTGTTAGCAGTGCGTTGCTTTTGTACCATTTCATCAGTGATTGTTGTACAGCTTACAAGAAGTTGTGCTCATGCTGATGTTTGCATAGATCGCAAATAAAACTAGATGACTCCGTGGAATGAGAGCGTAGGAGAAATGAGAAGCCTGTGAGCGAGTTGAGGGGCGGGGCTAAACATTCAAACGTCGCAGAAACGGGTATAGTGCCTTTAATCAAGAGAATTGATTACTCGCTGCATTTTTCATCCAAATGTGTTCGGTCTTGGTAGTCTATGGCGACTGGGCTCTGATCAAATGTAAAATGCACCTATAAACATGTGAGAAAGTGAAGGATCTGCATCTGCCAAAGACAGATAAGGTGCAGGTCTTTTCATGATATCTACTTTCTCAGACCTCATAAAATCTACAACTTCAATCCTTTTGGTGCCGTCTCTGTTTGAATACAAAACAACACAGCTTCTCACAAGTTTTAAAACAAATGCTCCATTGCATGATTTTACTCCCTTATAACCTCAACACATACGACCGGGAGAGAAACATTTTTGAGAAAATTGGTGAAAAATAAGTTCCATCCATCCATTTTCTACCCTTTAATCCATTTCTGGGTCAGGGGGGTGGCAGTCAGAGATGCCACCCAAGTCTCATAGCACCAGCCCCTCACTGACCCTCTGCAGGTGGTGAGTCCACAGGAGGACGGCTGCTCTCTGAGTGTGAGCATAGCCTTGATCTTTCAGTGGGGGCTTTGGGCAAAGTGGGGTTAAGTGTCTTGCCCAAGGACACAACGACAGCAGTCATCAGTGGGAGTCGGTGGAGAGGGTGCAGAGGTGGGAAATGAACCCACGACCTTCTGGCCTTAAGGCCAATGCTCTACCAACTGAGCTACTGTCGCTGAGCTACTGTCGAAAAATAAGTTCTACTGCCTTGCAAACACAATCATTTCCTACAACTGCTGAATCCACGTACCAGAATATGTAATGATTGTACATGTTCTGCTGTGCTGGTGCTCTTTAAAGAACATTGCTTGTCACAGTGAAAGACTAATGCCCTTTAAAGTATACTATTACACTAAATGTCAAGCCATTAGAGGCAAGTCTCAGCGGGACTGGCTGTATTTTCTCATACGAACAACACATTCCGTTGGCTTCTCTGTGATGGATCAAGCCCTGGAGTCTGCAGAGATCTACCCTTGATTTAGATTAGCCACCGCGGCGAGCCTTTCTAAGAGAATTTCACTGTTTCACTCGATGGAAGCCCTGATTTTCGTTCTTCCCCCTGCTTCTCTCAACAGTTGTCTCACCTATTCTTCAGTTTTATTGCTCATTCTAAGTGTTTCGAGAGAGAGAGAAGAATCCTGCACCAATCCGTATTAGCTCCCCTCCCACAGCCAAGACAAGACTACGCACTCTCTCCTGCTGCATGTAAAAACACCAAAGTACCGTTAAAAACCTGCCGTGTCGATCTGTGTGTAATGGCGTTCTCCCCACACCTGAATCCTGCATCTGTCCATTTGTTCTGTCCATTTGTGTCAGACTGACTCGCATTGTGTTTTGTAAAGGTTTGGATAAAGCCAACTCTGGAAGGAAAAAAGGGCAAAAGACTCCATGTTGGTCTTTTCGGCCCCGTCCCAATTCTCACCCTTACCCTTAAAAAGCACACTTGCCCTAGAGTTTGCGCGTGCCCGCCGGAGTGGAAGGGTGTCCCAATACTTAGGGAGAAGAGGTGAGGGCCTTCACACCCCTAAAAACTACCCTTGAGCGCAAGTGAGGTCTGGAGCTCACTCGCGAGCGAGTGTGATCCATTACGATAGCTGTTGGTAAAGCAAATGTCGGGCAAAGCCGCGCCACAATGAAAGGAAACAACATGAAACACCAGCGCACAAGTTTGAGCGGAACATGAGCAAGCTCCAAAGCGTGTGCGAGTGTGGAACGTCACACACATTATCAACATTATCAATATGCAATTGCTGCGTCATTTGCATATTGTCCCCTAGATCCAGGCGTGTCCCAATTCTTAGGGAGAATGATATGGAGGCCAATCGGTGAAACGGCTCCCGAGGGAGGAGTCGCTTTACCAACCGACATGTATGAAAACTTTTGCTGTTCATTTTTCCATTTTTAGCAAGTGAAATTTATGGGCCTCCTGTTTGTCAGAGGGCGGAGCCATTGATAAACATTTCGGTCGTATCTTGACTGAGGAACATGTGTACCGAATTTCATGGCTCTACGACAAACTTGACCTCTGAAACTCCCATTGGCTGTTTGTAGGTGGCGCTGTTCTGGCATTTTTTGAGTCCATAAAAAATAAACACCAAAATATCAAATTTTTCACCAGGTCTGATGTTTGGTCAAAATTTTACAACTTTTCATGCATTTCAGGGGGTGAAATTAAGGCTCAAAGTTGCAGAATTTGACATCTCTCGAGCAAAAACAATAGGCCCTTTCCCGTGATCGTTCGGGGCTCGGGCCTAATAATAACCCCCATGGGATTTTTCGGAGGTCAAGTTTGTCGTAGAGGCCATGAAATTCGGTACACATTTCCTCAAGTCAAGACATGAAAAAAAATGTTTATTATGGCCCCCGCCCTCTGACATACAGGAAGCCCATAAATTTCACTGCAAAATGGAAAAATGAACAGGCAATCATTTTCATACATGTTGGTTGGAAAGCGACTCCTCCTCGGCCGTTTCACCGATTCGCCTCAAAAATTTCGCTCCACATCATCTCAACACATGTACCTTGAAAAATGACTTCGGCGATTTTTCATCAGTGGAAACGTTGTTCGAACAGGGGAGCTGCAAATTGGTGACCTTTTTTTGGCCGTTTTGGACAATATTAAATTTGCTCCGTTTGCACATACAAAGTCTGATTTGCACAAAACTTTAATACATTGTTTAACTCTAGGGTCTAGGTCAATTAAACGTGAAATAAAAGAACATTGGCCTCATTAGGGCCCTACAGATGGAGTCAAAGTTTTCAGAGTTTTTATCATACTAAAAACTCTGAAATAGTCTGTAGGGGGCGTTTAATGAGCCAAGTTCAATTATTTCACTTTCAAATGACCTAGACCCTAGAGTTGAACCATGGATTCAAGTTTTGTGCAAATCGGAATTTGTATGTGTAAACGGGATCGGAGCAAATAGAAGGTTGTGAAAAACGGCCAATAAACACTCACATTTTGCCGCTCCGCTGCTCAAACAACGTTTCACTGATCAAAAATCCCTGAGGTCATTTTGATGGTACATGTGTTTAGACAATGTGGAGTGATATGGAGGCCAATCGGTGAAACGGCCGAGGAGGGAGTCGCTTTCCAACCGACATGTATGAAAACTTTTGCTGTTCATTTTTCCATTTTGCAGTGAAATTTATGGGCCTCCTGTTTGTCAGAGGGCGGAGCCATGATAACATTTCGGTCGTATCTTGACTTGAGGAACATGTGTACCGAATTTCATGGCTCTACGACAAACTTGACCTCTGAAACTCCCATTGGCTGTTGTAGGTGGCGCTGTTCTGGCATTTTTTGAGTCCCATAAAAATAAACACCAAAATATCAAATTTTTCACCAGGTCTGATGTTTTGGTCAAAATTTTACAACTTTTCATGCATGTTCAGGGGGTGAAATTAAGGCTCAAAGTGCAGAATTTGACATCTCTCGAGCAAAAACAATAGGCCCTTTCCCCCGTTCGGGGGGCTGGGCCTAAAAAACATGGGATTTTTTCGGAGGTCAAGTTTGCGTAGAGCCATGAAAGATTCGGTACACATGTTCCTCAAGTCAAGACATGAAAAAAATGTTATTATGGCCCCGCCCTCTGACATACTTGCAGGACCGAGCCGAAACAATGAACAGGCAATCATGAAAAAAACTATAAACTTCATTCGGGAAAACTGGAGTTTTTGGCTCTAAAGTGGGCTATTACAGAGCGGTATATCGGGACTATCTCTTCCATGCACCCCACTTTACGGTGTAACAGAGACAATAACCCCCTCACCTATGTCACTAAATCAGCAAAGCTCAATGCCACAGGACATCGATGGGT